GTGGTTCGGTGACACTGTTTGGGGGACGTATGGGCGGGTCCTGGGGCGGCTTTGGAACGGCAGCCCGGCGTTCCAGGGTGCGCCGCGCTCGGGAACTCGGCTGGCGTTGCCGTCGGTGCGTCTGGAAACGAGGAGGGATGAGGGAGGAGGGAGGAGGGAAAAGGGCGGTTCTTGTCGAGACGTTTCAGCTTTAAGCGCAAGGTGGCGAAGCGGCTTCACGTTCGCGCGCAGACGCGGCGAGCCCCGTTGGGCAAAGCGGGCTGCCTTCGCGCCCCTGGCTTGGGTGAGACTGGGCCCGGGGGGGGCGATCACTCGCCCTGTCGGCAAAGTGGCCTGGCGGCTGGAGGCTGAGATGAGGCAGAGGAGGTGCACCGGTAATTTGGAAGGCAGGGATGGGGAGGGAGAGAGGCTCAGGGGGGGCTTCCCCGCGTGGCTCAGGGGCAAAGTGGCGCAGGCTCCTGCTTCCCATTCATCCCAAGCCTCGGGACGTCGTTGGTAAAAGTGGCGGCTCACCACCCGCGGCGCGATGAATGGATGGCAGTGGCAGGTGGCGCCGCACAAGGCGTTGCATGCGCCGTGCGAGATGCGCTCGTTGACTTCATTGACTTGCCACGGCGGAGCACAGCTGCCAGTCGCACTCGCAGGCGAGGCCGCGGCAGTTGTCGCAGGAGCCTTCACCTGCCACCGTCGTCTGGCGCAGCGGGTGCTCCTGCCGCTGGTGCCGCCCGGTGCTCCGTCCCGTCCGCCTGTGACTCTCGGTGGGCCGCCAGGAGGACATCCGGCGATCGCCCCGGCACGGCCGGCGACAGCCTCTGCGCGTCGGCCGGCGATTGGCTCTCCACGCGCGGGGAGCCGCCTCGCCCCCTCGCGCGCGCGCGCCTGCGAGCGTGCCTGCCAAGGGCTCCCTCGAGGGCGCGAAGTTATTCGCGCTTCGCGCTTCGCGGTCCTCGTTCCTTCTCCCCCTCCTCCTCGTCCTCCTATTCTCCCTTTGGGAGGGCGGCGCGAGAGCGCGAAGTTATTCGCGCTTCGCGCTTCGCGCAGCGCGAAGCGCGAAGTTGGGAGCCCTAGGAGAGCCGCCTCGCCCCCTCGCGCGCGCGCGCCTGCGAGCGTGCCTGGTGACCGCCCGCGCGTGGGCAGCGCCTGCTTGGCCTCCCTGCCCGCCGGCAGCCGCCCTCGGCAGGAGCGGAGGCGCCTTCGAGAGGCCGTCCTCCCCCCTCGCGTGCGCTCTTCTCTTGGCTGCTGCTGGGCCCTCTCCCCTCCCCTTGGGTGCAACTCCTGGGAGGTCAAATTCTGCTTGTGCCCTGGCCCTAGTCCGAAATCCGGCTGGATCCCATGATTCGGCGGAACCCCGCTCCATCCGGCTCCGTGCCGCGCAATTTGGCTCGATCCCATTCAATCCGCGGCCTAATCCAGCGTAGCAGCCCCCCAATGGGACTCAATCCTCCTTGCCTCCTAACGCTTTCCTCTTGGCTGCTGCCGGGTCCTCTGGCCGCGTGGGGCCAGCGCCCCGGAGCGCCCACAGCAGACAGCGCTGCGGCGGCAGCGCCGCGGAGCCTCGCGGCTCCCCTGCGCCCACCCAGGCCTTCCTGTTCAGGAGGGACAGGGGCACGCAGACACAACTAATCGTCGGCTCTCCCAGGAATCGAAGGAGGAAACACGCCATAAACATAAACTGTTGGTGCTCCGCGCGGATTTCTTGGATCGGCGCCTGGGCCCCCTTCCCTGGCGCGCGGAGCGCGCCAGCGGCGGCGCCGGAGGCGCCGTCAGGGACGACGACGACGACGACGACGACATCGTGGATTGCTGGAGGGTACCCACCCCTTCCGAGCAGCGTACGCCAGCCGGTGCGCAGCGCCCAGTCCGGCGTGGCGGTCTCTGCGGTGTGCGGGTGGTCTTAGCGTTCTATCGCCGATTTGGTGCCAGGTCTAGGCCCCGCAGGGCCTGTGTCCTCTTAGCTCTTGGCGCACGTAGGCGTGAAGGTCGGCAGCTGGGTGGGCATTGGGGCTTTGGCGGCACCCGCTGCTCCCCCGCCGCTCCTCCGCCGTGGCTCCTCCTCCTCCTCCTCCTCCTCCTCCTCCTCCTCCTCCTCCACCTCCTCCTCCTCCTCCTCCTCTCTTTCACCTCCTCCTCCAACCCTCCTCATCCTCCCCCTCCTCCTTCCTCCACCTCCTTCTCCCTCCTCCTCCTTCTCCCTCCTTCCTCCCCCCTCCTCCTCCTCCTCCTCCTCCTCCTCCTCCTCCCCCTCTCTTCACTCCTCACCTCTGCTTCTTCCTCTTCCTCCCCCTCCTCTCCAAACCTTCCCCCCCCCCGGGTGCAACGCCAACCTCCTCCTTCCCTCCTAGTCTTCCTCCTCCTCACCTCCTCCCTCTCCTTCTTCCTCCTTCTCCTCCTCCTTCACCCCTCCTTCTCCTCCTCCCTCCCTCCCTCCCTCCCTCCTCCCTCCTCCCTCTCCTCCTCCTACCTCCTCCTCCTTCCATCCTCCTCCTTGCTCTTTCTCCTCTCCTCCCCCTTCCTCCTTCTCCCCCTCCTCCTCCTCCCTCCCTCCTCCTCATTCCTCCCTCCTCCTCCTCCTCCTCCTCCTCCTCCTCCTCCTCCTCCTCCTCCTCCTCCTCCTCCTCCTCCTCCTCCTCCTCTGGCGGCGTGCGCGGGTCTCTCCCGCGGCCGAAGCGCTTTAATCGGGAGCCGGGAGACACCTCCGCCGGGGGGGGGCCAACCAGAACCTATAAACTAGGCGTACCTGGAAGGTCAGCCAAGACCCGGACGACAAGGTAGCCGGTCGCGAGGAACCCCGAGCCTCCCGAGCCTTCCGCGCGGGCCCGCCAGCCCGCGCCGCGCCGCTGCCATGAGGCCGCCGCCCGGCCGCTGTGCGCCCCAGCCTCAGCCGCCTCGGCCTACGGCCACAGCCGCGGTCGCTCGCGCGCCGCGCCAGCCCCGCCTCCAGGCGCCCAGCCGGCGCGCCCCGCAGCGCGTGGTGCGGCCGCCCGGCGCGCCCCTGGCGCCTTGCTCCAGCAGCCCCGCGCAGTGGCCGGCGCCCCAATGCCCGCCCGCCAGCCGCCCCGTCAGTCGGTGCCCGGCGCGGCCGCCAGGTTGCATCTCCTCTTCCTCTTCCTCCTCCTCTTCCTCCTCATCAGATGCCCGTGTTGTTCTGGGGCGACTGGAGTTCGGACAAGTCTCAGTGGACCACTGTTGTGTATTACGATGGGTCTGGAATGGCCCCTAGTTGGCCAGAACTTCGCAGGTGTGAGGGGCCTGGAGAGCGTCACCAGGTCCTGTGCAAACAGTTGGCCGTGCAGAACGCATGGCGTTTTTGCAGGCGCTACGATATCTTCCGAAGGTTTCGCTCGTGGTCACGGACCTTCTCTCTTTGCGTGACGAGATTACGGCCTGGCACGAAGACCAGGCAGACGCTCAGGCCACATATGCCGATCTATGGCGCCACATATTCTTTACAGTCGGCGACAAAGAGGTGCCGAAGTCGTATTGGATTCTAGCGCATATGTCTCTAGAAATGAGTCTCAGTGTCGAGCACCCGTTTGAGTTCTATGTCGGTAATGGATGGTATGATGTCTTTGCTAAGTGGGGCGCTCTTGAACATGCCAATCCGAAGGTTCTTGAGATGTACTACGAGGGGCTCACTGCGGACGCGAAACTTCGGGCTAGGTTCTTCTCTTGGGTGTCTTCGAGGATCGCGAGCCGTGATGCTGATAGTGACCGTCCGTGCCGCACGATTAGATATTCATCTGGTAGAGCCCCCAAGTTGGCCTGAACGGAGCACGAAATGGTTTAGAAGATGGTTCAGGGGGTGAAAGGTTTCCAGTGTAAGGCTTGTTTGTCCCTGTCCAGGACCCCTGCCAGTCTGCTTAAGTTGTTGACAACCCCGTGTGCCCCGACTCCCCAGCAAAGCATTTTGGCGTCGAGGGATCGGGAGTTGCAGGAGGCTCCGAGGATGAGGACGCAGGCCCACGATGTAGAAGCCTCCCTGGACAAAGTAGATGTAGGTGTTCATCAGGCGGCCAATGGTTCTGTTCCATGCGAATCCGACGGTCCTACCGCCGACGTGATCGTTTCTCTGCGTGGGCACCAGGTTTTGGTGACCCACGGTGCCATGGTGTGCACCCTGTGTGGCTCTTATCAGGCGTCTTTCCAGGCTGCTAATTGTTACCTTGACGAACTGTAAAGGACCTTCGCAAGAGAAATCTGCTCTGTATTGGCAACGGTATCATATTCGTGCTGTCAGAGCGGGGAAGCATCCCACGACGGGGAATAAGCTCGTCTAAGTTTTGATGCATTAGGCCCGTGCTCTCGTCCCCCTGGTTGTGCGACTCGGCCGATGCTGCGTGGTCCTCCTCCTCCTCCTCCTCCTCCTTCTCCTCCTCCTCCTCATCTTCCTCTCCGGCCGCCCGGTTGCGTGCGCGGCAGTTCAGCCCTCGCCGGGGTTGCCCTTCCTGGCAGCAGCTGCCCAGCCCTGCGCCTGCGTCGCCGCCAGCACCGCGTCGGCGGCGTGGCGCTGCAAGACGCACCCGAGCGGTTGGTGTAGTCGCCAGATGGCCGCAGAGCGCTCAGTGTCCTGGGCGGGCGCCGGCAGCCTCGTCCAGGCGGCCGTGGTCCTCCACCACGAACGGGACAACAGCCACCCGGGGGTAATTAGCGAGCCCGCTTGCGCCGTGCCGCGGCTGCCGCTGCCGCGCCGTCCCGCCGCGCGGAGCCAAGCGCGAGGGCGTCTTGCGCGAGAAAATGACCGCGGTCAAGTCGACCATGGGTGGCTCAGGGAGGCGCGGGGCATGGACGACCAAGTCCGTCCGCGCCTCCGGGCTCCCCGTCGCTGCGTGGGGGAGCAGGAACTCCCTGTGCACTGTGCATCCCTGCTCCTTGCATCTCCTCCTCCTCCTCCTCCTCCTCCTCCTCCTCGTTGCCCCATTTCCCCCATTCTTCCTGATCGAGGGCTCTGCCCGCCCCGATCCCAGCACGAGCCCCCCCAGCGGCCCGCGCGGGCCCCGCAGGTCGCTCCTGACGTGCTGCCCCGAGAAGAGAATGACCGCCGAGGCGGCGTCGGAGGATCGCCTCCCGCTGCGCTGCCAGCCGGTTGCCGCCGTCGTCGCCAGTCTGTGGACGTGGTCGTAATCGTCGTCGTCGTCGTCGTCGTCGTCGTCGTCGTCGTAGTCGTAGTCGTAGTCGTAGTCGTTGTCGTCGTGGTCGTGGTCGTGGTCGTGGCTTTGGTCGTGGCCGTGGCCGTGGCCGTGGCGATGGCAGGCTCCTGGAGGCAGGGGCTGCGATGCCGCGTGGGGAGGTACAGCCTCCTGCGGGAGGGCGGCGCCCGAGGGCCGCGCGGGCCTGGGAGCAGCCCACGCCCTTGGCCTGGCCGGTCTTGGCCAGGCGAGGAGGGGGAGGAGGAGGAGGAGGAGGAGGAGGAGGAGGAGGAGGAGGAGGAGGAGGAAAAGGAGGAGGAGGACGAAGAGGAGGAGGATGATGAGGAGGAGGACGAGCAGGAGAAGGAGTGCCGGAGTGACCATTGGTGTGGGCCCACAGGGGTCCCCCGATCGCCGAACGCGACGCGATAGCTGCGTCTTGCGCGCTTGGGTCTGGCCCTTCCACGGCTCCCCGAAAGCCTCGCTCTTGCGCGTGGCCAAATGAGGAAGGGGGCGCGAGGAGGGTGACGACTGGGGGAGGGAGATGGCGGATGGCGATGGGAGGAGAAGCAGAGCCGAGGGGGAGTGCATAGGGGGAGGACCCAGAAGAGCTACCAGGGGTCAGGGGATGGGAAGAGAGGGTGGGGCGCGACTGGGGCAGACGAGGGGACGGGAGAGGCGAAGCACTGGGCCTGAGGCGTGCAGGTACCACGTCGATGGGCGGCCAGCTTCAGCAGTGAGAGTGGGAAGTCGAGATGGAGGTGGGGATGGCGAGGATAGTGAAAATCTTGGTCAATCGTGATGATCTCGAGGATGAGGCTGAAAAGGGAGGAGGAGGAGAAGAACGAGGAGGAGGAGGAGGTGGAGGAGGAGGAGGCGGAGGAGCGTTGAATTCCAACACTCGTGCTGGCAGCGTCAGGCGTCAGGAGCAGGAGAGGGCGGGAGGAGGCGGGAGGCGGGAGGCGGGAGGAGGCCGGACGAGGATGAGGAGGATCACCGGCAGAGCGGAAGGAAGAGAGGGAGGGCGAGGGCCAGTGCAAACCCAAGACTCATCAACGATGTTTCGAAGAAGAGAAAAAAGGCATAAACAGAAATGTTCGACGGTCCGCTCCAAAAGTTTACGTTTATGCTGCTGTTTCTTCTAAAAGTTCATCAACGATGTTGCAGTACCCCCTTTCTTCAAGTTCCCTCTTCAGGGGCTCCTGAGAGGATCGATGTTCACTGCGGGAAGAGCCCCGTTGGAAAACAACCGTCTGAAAATCTCCAACCGTGCCAAAGCACCATGCCTGGGACGTCAGCGCCGCGAATTAAGACTGTCGCGCCCAGAGAGTCCTAAATCCTATCCAAACACCTTTTCTGAGCGTCAGCCACAATAATCCTTGAAAGTGTTGTAAATTGTTGAGACGAGTGCGCGGCGCTAAGGCGAGGGGCATATTTTGAAAAAGACGCCCTCAATCCGCAAACTCTTGTAATATGTAAGACGAGTGCGCACGGCGCTGAGGCGATAGCCACACCTTGAAAACGACCCGCCCTCCATTATCCGTGAAGCTCTTGCAGGCTTTTCAGACGAATGCGCGTGGCGCTGAGGCGCGACATTGCACACATGAGACGAACGTTTGAAACGAATGTGTGGGAGCCACTCTTCATACATATCTATATATATATATATATATATATATATAACACCAAAACCACGCCCTCCATCCTTGAAGTTATTCCAAATTTCAAGCCTCAGGATCACCCATACTGAGGAAGTCTCAGGCGAAATGCCCCGCCCACCCTACCGACCAGCCTCGGGGTGCCACAGCGAGGAGTTATTCATGAGGAAGAGGGATGGAGGAGGAGGAGGCGGAGGAGGAGGAGGACGATGAGGAGGAGGAAAATGAGATCGAGTCCGTAGCCTTTTTTGGCTCAAGCCATTTTGGCTCAAGTGCGAAACCGTCGCCCTGCGGCTTCGTACTTGCCTGCTGCCGAGGGGCTGGCCCGAGGCAAGCCGCCCTGCAGCAGGCACTTCATTTCCCTGCCCGCACGATCCCATCAGCTAGATGTGCTGAGGGCTTGTGTGACACACCCTACACATGGCGCGGGTCCGTGATTAGTCTTCGCACAAGGGTGCGAAAAAAAGGCAAAGGCAATGGCAACAAGAAAACGGTCGGTAAGAAACACCAGTCGAAGCAGGAGGCGCCGCGGTCACTGCCGTCATGCCGAAGCTGGACGTGTACGAAGTGTCAAACGGACAACCACCTCAGGCTGAGATGCTGCAGGATGTGTGGTGTTCATTGGCAGATACCCACTAAGGTGCCTCCCCCACCGCCAGGAGATGATCCGATGCAGGGGACGGCACCTTCGTCACCATGGAGTACGACGGCCAATCTAGGCCCCCATATCACGAGGTGCCAGCAGTTCCTGGCCGCGCTGGGCAAGACCAGACACAGCTGGGAGTGCCATCGCCAAGCAGAAAGTGGAGGAGGCCATCGTGCACCTCAGACAGGTGCGCGACACCCAGAAGACGCCTGGTCAGCTTCTCATGGTGGCAACCCAGAAGCTCCTGCAGGCGCAGTCGGCGATGAGCAAGCACGCCCAGAATATCCAGGACATCCAGGATCATATCAAGGAGCTGGTGGAGACCATCCGCCACGCGTGAGATGATCGAAGAGGAGGAGGCCCACATAGCAGAGTGCCAGACCAAGATCGCGGAGCCGGTCTCGGTCGTCTCGAAGCTAGCGCCGACTCCGACCCCATCGACAGCCACCGCATCACAGCCCCAAGGATAGCTCGAGTCGCTCATGGGGGAGTTCACCATGTTCCAATCGAGGTTGTCGGGGGCGGAGCATCAGGCGCTGCTGGGGCCCATGCAGGCGCTGGTGGCCACCATCCAGCAGGTCCAGGCCCAGGCCTCGACGCAGACGGCGATCTCCGAGCCTGGAGCGGCCCCGAGCGTGGCGGCGGTGGCGCCGACCTCGCCAGCAGCCCCAGACCCGACGCCTGGAGAGGCGCCCCCAGCCCCCGCCAGGCGCGCAGCCCTAGCGGGCAGCGGCGCGGCGGACAAGGCAAGGAGGCCCCGGGAAAGGGGGCCGGCGCCGAGGTCACTGACGGGACCGATGGAGGAGACGCGCGCGGCCGCAGTCGCAGCCGTGAGAACGGCGCCGCGGGATCCGCGCCGACGGCGAGGTGACTGGGCACCTCGGGAGTTGAAGAAGTACCAGTCCAAGTAAAGGGGCCACCAACTCGCGAGGGGCTCCAAATCTTGACAGCGAGGGGTTCGGGCTGCTGCTCGGCCGAGCGCATCATCAGGGAAAGCTCGGCGCAGATCATCCTAGTGCAGGAGCGCAAATTTCAGGGGCAGCACCGTCGCGAAGTTCGGGCTTCCCCTCTCCGATCAGGGTGGCGCTCATTTGGGGGGGAAAGCCATGGCGCGGGTCGTGGGATGTCAGCCGGAGTTGCCATTTTGGTCCGAGGCAACTTGGACGCCAGGCAGCCCAGCCAGTCCACTGCATGGCCGCATAGAGTGATCAACATGTACGGTCAAGGTCCGATATATAGCGTGTCTTTGGGGAGACGCCCATACACGCTAAGTGCTCCGCACTTAGCGTGTATCCTTAGTGGTGGTACTTAGCGTGTATGCCCTTTCGGGGCTGGGGGAGGGATGATGATGGCAGGGAGAGGGATCATGCGGCCGCCGCGTTGGCAGAATGCTCGACGTTTGTACGAAAGTTCGTTGGTAGATTAGGTGTGCATGTTTAGTCTCATCGCCGGCTAATCTCGGTAGACTTTGAGCCGTAGTCCAAGTCCAAGTCCAAGAGAGGGATCATGCTGATGATGAGGAGGCTGATGAGGATGATTACGAGGAGGAGGACAATGATCGTTCTCCTGAGGAGGGATGAGAGACGTATGATGAAAATGAGGAGGAGGCGGAGGAGGAGGAGGAACAGTTCCGAGGTTCTCCCGAGGCCCTCTGGAGGCTCCCCCGAAGTCCCCCTGAGGTACGTACCCCCGAGAGCCCCCAGACGGCCCCAAGCAAGAGGGGCCCAAGAACGGCCCAAGAGGGGCCCAAAACGGACCTCGAAGAGCCCAATGATGGCTCCAATAAAGCCTCGGGTGGATTTCAAGAGGGGCAAAAATCAAGTGGAGCCGCTCCACTTGATTTCGGACCGTCGTGAAATACACCTGAGCCCTCTTGAGAGCCTCTTGGGGGCCTCTTGGAGCCCTCTCGGGGCGCCAACGTTTTTAGGCTGCAGGCGGGCGTCTGGAACCCCCCAAGAGGGCACCAAGAGGGCCTCAGGTAGATTTCAAGAGGGCTCAAAATCAAGTGGAGCCGCTCCACTTGATTTTGGGCCGTCCTGAGATCCACCTGAGCCGTCTTGGGAGCTTCTTGAGAGCCCCCGGGGCCCCCCCGATGCCTCCCGAGGCTCCCCGGATGCCCCCGAGGTCCCCTCGACCCCCCACGGGAGCTTCATCTCCGAAATCACTCCGAAGTTTCCCCGAGGTTCCCCTGAGGCCCCCTGAGGTTCCCCCGAGGCCCCCCGAGGTCCCCCCGTCGCGAGCTGCGCCCACCGACCCGTCTACGTAGGGAAGCATCGACGCCGTGCGTCGGAGCTGTTCTGGACTGGTTGTTGGAGTGGTTCATTCGTGTGACCATTTCTCGCCGGGCCCCCCCCGGCGACAAATGGTCACGCTCACCAGGCGCGCCTTGCGCGCTTTACGTAAGGGGCGGCTTGCGCGAAATACCTGCGCTGCCCCGTCTATGGTCTCTGAGGCATGGCCTCTCTTTCCGCCAGCTCGGCGAGTTTCCGCCCCGTCGGATGCTAGACCTGGATTGCCCCTTGCCCCCCGAGTTCCCCCCGAGGGCTACAAGAGGGGCCGAAAAACGGCCCAAGAGGGCCCCAAGACGGGCCCCAATAGAGGGGAGCAGGAGCTGCAGCACGGGCT